GAACTGAGGAGAATTGCAGAGACAGTGCAGAAGCGTGATCAATTTAAATATGTGGACTGCAGTATGCCCTCATTGAATAAAGCAAACCCAAACAGCGTCTTCTGTCAGGTGTGCAATAGGCAGTTCAGTGCACAAATTAATTTGATCAGTCATGTACGTACAGAAATGAAGCCAGTTAGTTATGTCATTGACATCTTTGAACTCTATGAACAAACATGCATACACCATTATACCTGCCTTCAAAGCACACATTTGTTAAGAAATTACCTGTTCTACTAAGCCACTTTCTTTTATATACATCATTCAGGGCCGTAAACAGCAATCAAGATCCCTGGGTAAAAAACTCTCTGGCCTCTCCTAGTTCTTGTTCACACAAAAATTTTATTTGTATAAAATTAGAAGGTGTTGTTTGGCCTGGGCCTTGGGGATATATCCTTGGCTGCCCCCACCCATGAATTTGGCCCTGATCTCAGTAGAGTGCTCAGATTTATAGATATATGTATGTATATTTGTTTGAGTGTATATATATATATATATATATATATATATATATATATATATATATATATATATATATATATATATATATATATAAGAATGCATAAAAGATATTTAGGAAAGCATTCATGTGTAATTATGCATAGAAATAGAAATGTATCAACTGTTTGACGGAAATGGATCATTTATTGCAAACGTACTAAAATATGAATGTTTGAAATCATTTTTTCATATTTTTATTTTCATTCATTATTTGAGTAGCCTAGCTTTTTGGTACTAAGGGTTGCCACTGATGACTGTGACAATCTCCTCCATCTTGTCATGTTCTTCACTTCTCTTAGAGACCTTGCAAAGTTCATGCCTGTGTCCACTCTTTGATGTTATATTCCCTACTATTATTCTGTCTTGTTTTTCCTTCATCTCACTCTGCCCTGTAGGATAGATTTTAACAGGCAAGATAAGCACTTTCATTTCTTTATGGTAGTGTACAGATCTTCATCTGGTCCAGTTACATCTATTGCACAACTCCTCATTAGAGTTGTGGTCTAAGTAGGAGATTTTCTGGTTCATGTCACAACATCTCATCTCTAAGGCATGAATTCTCTCTCGTTCTTCTGGCATGGTCCATGTCGGTCTTGTTTGTTTTTCGATTTCTTTCTTTATCTATAGATTAGTCCTGTTCATTTTAAACTTAAATGAGTCTGCTATCTTCTACACCTCTTATTGTCAAACAATTAACATGATTTGAGTAAGACGATGTATGCCTGATTGTATATTTCATCATTCAATCCCATAATGAGTATATTTGTATTCCATGGATTGTAAATTTGCAAATAAAGGGATTCCATTTAATGATGGGTTTTTCCCTCGACTGGTTCATGTCTTTTTATTTTGAGCATTCCTGGATTCATAATTCCCCCTGGTTAATTTGGTTCTTAAGATATTGCTCTAACTCTGCCAGTCATTGTTCCTGTGTTTGTTTATTCTTTACAATTGTTACCACTCTTGATGCAAGGTTAAATGGAATGTTCACTTTTATGTTTTACATAACAGGATTTAAAATCAAGATAATTATGTGTATCAGTTGGTTTGCTATAAATATCAGTAGCAACTCTTGTTCCCGATAGTTTGATGAGATGTATAGTGAAGGAATACTTATTTAACTTTCATTCTTTATGAATTATTTAGTTATTAATTTTCTAATAGAATTCTTCTATTATTTTATAGTTATTAATTTTCTTGAAGAATTATTCTATTATTTTATAGTTATTATTTTTCTGGAAGAATTCTTCTATTATTTTATAGTTATTAATTTTCTGAAAGAATTCTTCTATTGGTATATATGTTTAGTCCATATGATGAAGCAGTCATCTAAAAATCTCTTCCAGTTCTTTCTCAAATAATCCTCTAATTCTTCTCAATGTGCATGATTCATTCTGTTAAATAATATTTTTTCCAAAATATCCCAGGACAAGCGTAGCACAAGTTGGTGCACCTTTGTTCCCATAGCTATGCCTTTTTGCTGTATGTAAATAAAATAATAATAACATACCGAGAACTGAAGTTTAAAGGATTTAGTTATAAATTCATGACTGGATTGTGAATTGATGTATTTCCTGTTTTTGTCAAGCCAAAGTGTCAGTGCCTCTTCCCAAGGTCATGCAGAATATTGGTGTACAAGTTTATAATATCTAAAGCAATCAGAGTAAAAACTGATTATTTTACCAGCACTGCCAGCAACACTAGTTGCTATTTATATTCCTCCAATAACATATCCAATTAATGCACCTATGATAGTTCTTATGGAAACAATTCAGCAACACTAAAGCCAACCATGGTTTCAGTGGTGATTCCACAAATATCATATACAATCACACACACACAGGTTTGTATTTCACAAGTAGCTCAGTTTACTTTGGTGATTTCATTTTGCAGTTGTTTTGCTTTATTATTTTTTCACATTGATAACATTGAAGATTTATCATAGTTCTTCTCTAAATAAGGTGATCACAAATATAATGAGTTAACAATCTTGCCTTCAGGTGGAACAAGCAGTTCCGAAACATTACCCTATTTTACAAATGCCATAAAAAAAATGCCATACAATCATAGTAGATATCTTCTTGTGGAATATATACATCTGCAAGGATTATAAATTATGTGATAAGACATATATTTTGATGCATACTGACTACACTCTTGGTTTATGTCTGAAATGATTGTGCTCATCATTGCACAAGAAATGTTACATGGACAAGTACATCCTTGATAAGTAACAGTCACGATTTTTCTCTTCTTAGTCGAGTTAATGTTGGTGCAACATAAATAACTGGAGATGCAGCCAAGGGGGATTTGTTGATAAACCCTGCATCACTGTTTGTAGAAACAACCTCAGAGTGATTTTACACCTGGTGGTAAAGTCAATGACTGGGTGTTTTCACTTGCGAATGCAATGATTCGAAGCTAGTTTCATGTTCTTATTTGCAAATTAAAGTGGTTCCAAATGCTGATTTTTACTTAACAAAATTATATTTCAATATATATGTCGGTTTGCTAACATTATCTACATGCAAGTTTGAATTAACAAGTGGAACAAAATCACCATTGATGTTGGCATCACTGGTTAGTCTATCTAACACATGATATGCAAATTCTGCAACCTCATCATCATGGTCAGACTCCAGTTTGTGAATGCAACGATGAATCTAATTTTAAATGCAAATGCCAAAGACATTTTAGAACCCATCCGGAAAAAACTGCAATAACCCACACAGTGGAGATGAGCCCAAGCATTCTGACACTTGCAGCAAGAAAATGAGTTTACATTTTTCTCTGAGGTTTTACCACCAGTGGAGGGTGACGATAATATAATCTATAAATATTTCTAAGCTGGTGAGTGAATGCATTTTTTGTACTGAAAAAATGGAGTGTCAGCTGCTCTTTTGAATACCAATAGCTGATGGAACAGACATGCACACACGACAGATACTAATGCCAAAGCAATATAATAGTCACTGAGGTGACTAGAAGGGTATGGCAGCTATGAAAAAGCTTGCAAAAACCACCAAAGTCTCACATGATGTTGCCATGGAAATTCTCAAGAAATAGACCATGTGGCAATTTTATCCACCAGTCATTACAAGAGAGGTAAGCTGTTGACCACAAAGGAGACTTATATACTTGCCTATGTATGGCTCGCATTTACAAAAGGCTGAATATAAGGAAGCTTAATCTCAGCTTGAAGTTCATGGGTGCTATGTTACAGCTTCTGTTGCAAGCATCCACAAAGGCTGACATCCACTGAGCATAGGGCATTGTAGGGAGGTTGAACTGTATTTTAGCTAAAGTGCTGTTTGGTAACCAGTACACTTGATGTTGCTATTTGATATTGAAACTGCATAGTATAGTATTTAGTGGGTTCAGTGAGACTGCATAGTGTAGCATTTACTGGGTTCAGTGAAACTGCATAGTGTAGTATTTACTGGGTTCAGTGAGATGGCATAGTGTAGTATTTAGTGCGTTCAGTGAGACTGCATAGTGTAGCATTTACTGGGTTTAGTGAGACTGCATAGTGTAGTATTTAGTGGGTTCAGTGAGATGGCATAGTGTAGTATTCAGTGGATTCAGTGAGACTGCATAGTGTAGCATTTACTGGGATCAGTGAGACAGCATAGTGTAGTATTTACTGGGTTCAGTGAGACTGCATAGTGTAGCATTTACTGGGTTCAGTGAGACAGCATAGTGTAGTATTTACTGGGTTCAGTGAGACTGCATAGTGTAGCATTTACTGGGTTTAGTGGCTTCCTGCCATTGTGGCATAAGATAACAATTGCCAGTTGCATCTTCTCAAAGTACACTCTGCTGTTGATGTAGTTGTATAGTTACACCCTCTTGCAAGTATGGTGCATTGTGGTTAATGACACCTCTTCACCGAAAATACAATGATTTGTGACTGGTTTTAAGAGTTGCTCATAAACTGTATGCTATCAATGAGCTGCTAATGTTGAACATATTGGGCAACAGACTGGTACCATTGTCTCTGAGGAATAAGAATATCATGTCAAGTCTATACCCAATGTTGATATGACCATTCTCCATTCATAATGCTAAGTGAAAACAAGATTTTCAGGCTGGCTAATGTAATGGCTACATCGGATATCTGAGTAGCATTACATTTCATTTAACAAGAACTAGATCTTGGGATGACTGAGTGTGTGTGTAAATTCTCAAAACAACCATCCTGGTGAAGTAGTTTAGATGTGTGAATGTGATTTGGATTATTAATGTAACTTTAGGAATTTTTCAGTCATATCTCTATGCAGTCTGCAGTGTGGCAGTTCACAGTGATGTTTAACACTGGGGCATCATGCCACAGACATGTAGCATCCTGTCCCACCCAATTACATTATCCTGACATCAGGCTGACCAGTCTTAAGACTGACCTCCTAATTCTGAGTGCCTATCAAGGCAGTAGCTAGTAACATTTTTACAAGTCTTTGGTATGACTTGGCTGAGTTTTGAACTCATGACCTCCTTCATCTGAAGAGGATGCTATAACCACTTAAGCCACCAGAGCGGTCTAGTAGTTCAGGAGGAGTAGCATTAACAAATTTGTGCTAATGGACAGATGGGTAATAAACAGACCATCCCATAAGCTCTTCTGGTGTATAACGAGCTAACCAAAATAATATAATAATAATAAAAATAATAATAATAATAATAATAATAATAATAATTAAAAAAATGCTATTAATATTTATATTACAGGTAAAAATAATGATAATAATCACAATGTAGGGAGCTGCATACATTGAGCCCACGATCAAAGCACTGCTGCAAAATGTCTGACCTTGAACATGAGATCTAGCATGCATATCACAGAATGAACAGTTATTTATTGTAACAATGATTCATCTACAGTATTAAGAAAATCCATCAATGGCATTTAGGTAATATACGCCAGTGAAGAAACTTACCTAAACCTGAAAATAAATGTTTTATAATTGTGATTCTGACCCAAATTTTCATGAGGTGTGTGAGTCTGACTCACAATGTATTGTATTAGGTTGGCAGGTGTGCAAGTCTATCTCACAAAGCATTGTATTAGGTTGGCAGGTGTGAGTCTGTCTCACAATGTAGGTGTTTGAGTCTGTCTCACAATGTATTGTATTAGGCTGGCAGATGTTTGAGTCTGTCTCACAATGCATTGTATTAGGTTGGCAGGTGTGAGTCTGTCTCACAATGTAGGTGTTTGAGTCTGTCTCACAATGCATTGTATTAGGTTGGCAGGTGTGAGAATCTGTCTCATAATGCATTGTATTAGGTTATCAGCTGTTTGAGTCTGTCTCACAATGTTGGTGTGCGAGTCTTTCTCATAATATATTGTTACACAGTATTAGGTTGACAGGTGGTGTGAGTCTGTCTCACAAAGCATTGTATTAGGTTGGCAGGTGTGAGTCTGTCTCACAATGTAGGTGTTTGAGTCTGTCTCACAATGTATTGTATTAGGCTGGCAGATGTTTGAGTCTGTCTCACAATGCATTGTATTAGGTTGGCAGGTGTGATAATCTGTCTCACAATGTTGGTGAGTCTGTCTCACAATGCATTGTATTAGGTAGGCAGGTGTGAGTGTCTGTCTCACAATGTATTGTAATTGGTTGGCAGGTGCATAAGTCTATCTCACAAAGCATTGTATTAGGTTGGCAGGTGTTTGAGTCTATCTCACAATGCAATGTATTAGGTTGGCAGGTGTGTGAGTCAGTCACACAATGTAGGAGTGTGAGTCTGACTCACAATGTATTGTATAAGGTTGGCAGGTGTGTGAGTCAGTCACACAATGTAGGAGTGTGAGTCTGACTCAATGTATTGTATAAGGTTGGCAGGTGTGTGAGTCTGTCTCACAAAGCATTGTATTAGGTTGGCAGGTGTGTGATTCTGTCTCACAATGTAGGTGTTTGAGTCTGTCTCACAATGTATTGTATTAGGCTGGCAGATGTTTGAGTCTGTCTCACAATGCATTGTATTAGGTTGGGAGGTGTGTGTCTGTCTCACAATGTATTTTATAAGGTTGGCAGGTGGGTGAGTGTCTCATAAAGCATTGTATAACTTTGGCAGGTGTGTGAGTCTGTCTCACAATATAGGTCTTTGAGTCTGTCTCACAATGTATTGTATTAGGTTGTTAGGTTGTCAGGTGTGTGAGTCTGTCTCACAAAGCATTGTATTAGGTTGACAGGTGTGCGAGTCTGTCTCACAATATATGTCTTTGAGTCTGTCTCACAATATGTGTTTGAGTCTGTCTCACAATGTATTGTATTAGGTTGGCAGGTGTGTGAGTCTGTCTCACAATGTAAGTGTGTGAGTCTGTCTCACAATGTATTGTATTAGGTTGGCAGGTGTGTGTGTCTGTCTCACAATGTAGGTGTGTCTGTCTCACAATGTAGGTATGTGAGTCTGTCTCACAATGTTGGTGTGTGAGTCTGTCTCACAATGTATTGTATTAAGGTTGGCAGGTGTGCGAGTCTGTCTCACAATGTAGGTGTGTGAGTCTGTCTCTCAATGTAATGTATTAGGTTGGCAGGTGTGTCTGTCTCACAATGTAGGTGTGTGAGTCTGTCTCACAATGTAGGTGTGTGTCTGTCTCACAATTTATTATATTAGGTTGGCAGGTGTGTGAGTCTGTCTCACAATGTAGGTGTGTGAGTCTGTCTCAGAATGTATTGTATTAGGTTGGCAGGTGTGTGAGTCTGTCTCACAATGTAGGTGTGTGAGTCTGTCTCACAATTTATTATATTAGGTTGGCAGGTGTGTGAGTCTGTCTCACAATGTAGGTGTGTGAGTCTGTCTCAGAATGTATTGTATTAGGTTGGCAGGTGTGTGAGTCTGTCTCACAATGTAGGTGTGTCTGTCTCACAATGTAGATGTGTGAGTCTGTCTCACAATTTATTATATTAGGTTGGCAGGTGTGTGAGTCTGTCTCACAATGTAGGTGTGTGAGTCTGTCTCAGAATGTATTGTATTAGGTTGGCAGGTGTTTGAGTCTGTCTCACAATGTAGGTGTGTCTGTCTCACAATGTAGATGTGTGAGTCTGTCTCACAATTTATTATATTAGGTTGGCAGGTGTGTGAGTCTGTGTCACAATGTAGGTGTGTCTGTCTCACAATGTAGGTGTGTGAGTCTGTCTCAGAATGTATTGTATTAGGTTGGCAGGTGTGTGAGTCTGTCTCACAATGTAGGTGTGTGAGTCTGTCTCACTATATAGGTCTTTGAGTCTGTCTCACAATGTGTTGTATTAGGTTGGCAATGATTAACCTCAAGCATGAAGAAAATCCGTTAAGAAAGCATATGCACTGTGACAACTTTAATAGAAACCTTAACACAAACTTTCTATGTGACCTTGACTCCAAAGTCAAATGCGTGAATGTTGTTTTATCTTCACAATAACTCATCCCACATGTGATGTGAATCTATCAAGAGATTTAAGGATATGCAGAATAAAAAAATATGTATAAGCTAAACCTTAAGTCCTGAAGCCACTGTCACTGCTATGTCTTGCTTATCAATACAGTACAAGTCATACGATTCATTTATGCACAATTACTCATTTAAAATAATATATAAATTGTTCTTTTTAAAATTTAACACTAATTTTCTTTTAAAAAAAGTCTATTCAATCCTGATTATTTAATGCTCTGCACTTAAACTGTCAACAAGAAATTTCCAGATGAAAATTATCAATCACTATGTTCTTTTACAATGGAGGGGCCCCGAGTGGCCGAGTGGTCTAAAGCGCTGTCCGTTACGGATCACTGCCATCTCACCTCTGTCTGCGTGTGTTCGAGTCTAGGATTCGGCTAATGTAGATATGTGAGAAAGCTTGCCAGTAGCTTCTCGTGGGTCGGTGGTTCTTTCCGGTGATTTCCTGGTTTCTTCCTCCACCATTATTACTGGCCGCCATGAATAGCCTATCGTGTGCTGAAAAATGGCGTTAAGCCCAACAACAAACAAACAAACTTTTACAATGGTGGCCATGTACTAAACTTGGGTCAAAATATGATTGTCTACTGGAATCGTCACAATCAAGAGTAGTATGAATTTATTTATCAGTATGCGTAGCTTTCATTGTGATATAACATCTGGCTTATAATGGATCAGACCTTTAGGTTCCTTTTGTCAAAAGATGTCTATGTTCTATGCACTTTAACATCGATTTTGCTGTATGCACTTCTCAGGGCGTCTACATAATGACCTCCCACAGGAATATGGATGCAAATGAAGTGAATACTTACCGCTTAATAAAATGTAGAATCAAATTCTAAAAAATTACACCCATTATTGAAATAGTTGATGTTGAATGCCTACATGACCTGTGTGAATTGTACTATAACGGATTCAAGAAAGAGTTTTGTGTAAGAGATGTTATATACTGTTTGGAAAATGGTCCCTGTATCATTCTTAAAGCCAAATCTCCTGCATGAAATGACTTTAATCATCTTATGCTAACGTCGATGACTTGTCGGACTGCATTACTAACTCCTTTCAAAATGTTTCATAAAATAAAATAGGGAGTGGTGGGTGAGTGTTTGATTATGCATATGCTACATATCCTTAAGCATGTTTTCTCCAACATGCACTTTATAGTTTCAAATAAAAAAAATGTAGATAATTTTTGTGAACATGCAACTTCTCATCTACTGTCCATCTATTCAGCAGGTATCCCTAGCAGCAGCAAAACCCTGGAAAATGATTCAAGCCCTGTCGATGTTAAATATTTCAAATGTCAATGATCTAAAATCCCCTTAAGCAAAGCTATAGACAGGTGAGAAAAAAACGAAAATTATAGTACTTCTTTTTTTTGCCAATGGAAAACATGCTACCAAGTGAGAACAATATTTACAAGAACCAGGTTTACAACATTATATGCTGGAAGTTGTGGGTTTATGCTATCTACTTGTGTAGCATATACTTAGACTAACATGCTGGTGCCTTCTATGATAACAGGTGCTAAACATTTTTTCTATTTTTCTTCCCACCAAAATTCTGTATACAGTTCAAAATCACAACAATACAAAATGTTGCAATCCCTTCAAATACATAACATGACACAATAGCAATTTTTTAATCAGATAGTAGTGTATACCTGTAAAAATACCAGTCTAATTGCTTGAAATACATAAATAATTAGTATTTATGACTTTAGAAAACCCAACAACAACAATATTGAAAAAAAGATCTGTACAAAACAATTTTATTATGCCCCACCATGATTATAGACTGGTCATTTAGTGCTATCTTTCCATTCATCCATCACATCTTGGTTAAATTCTGTATTTAGGTTAGCCTTTCTGACTCACTTTGGTTAAGATCTGTATTTAGGTTAGCCTTTCTTCTGACACTACAAGTCTTGGAGCCATGCTATGCATGGGCACCTGCATAACTGCAGCATGGGTCAAGGGTATATAGTTTAATCATGCAAATGAAGCTGAAAATATATCACAAGATTCTGTTCAAAATGCTTAATAAATATTAGTTTTAGTTTCAGACTGCTTCTTATACTAACTCTTCCAGCCATGACTGACTGTG